CCCAGCACTGTTCCCATCCCCCCAATTCCCCAATAAAAAAAAAATCTAAAAAAAAAAAAAATACCTTCGGTTGACTCCACTTCCCTCACTAACTACCCCCCCCCCAGTTTCTCTTCTTCCTTTTAAAGAAAAACATGATTTCCAGCTTCCCTCCTCCACCTGACTGGTGAATACACCCACATCAAAGACATCAGTTATCTCCATTTTGTGCAATACCTGGTGAATTCTCAGTCCTCCTTTGAGTTGACCCTTCAGTAGCATTTGGCACAGATGATCACTCCCTCCCTTCTGGTGAAACACTCCCTCCCTTGCCCGAAGACACCACACCCTACTGATTTTTCTCCTGCCTCCCTGAAGACTCTCAGTCTTGAATCCCTCTCTTAATCCTGGTTTTCCTAACACCAAAGCATTCAAAGACTCAATATGAACCCATTTCCTTTCTTTCTTGTTTTCTCCTCCTCACACTCAGCTCCTTAGTGATTTCACGCTGGGTCATGGCTCTCCTTACTGTTTATACACTTAGAACTCCCCACTCTGCAGCCCAGCCCACTCCACTGAACCCGAAACCCTGGCATCTCTGATCTTCACCTCTACAGATCCAAATCAAGTCCCTGACCTTCCCCATCACAGTGACTAACATCCTTGCCAGTGTTCAGACAAAATATATGGAGTCCTCCTTAACGCTTCTTTTTTTCACACCATCAAATCCTGTCAACTCTATTTTCATAACATTGTCACAGAATAAAGTTGGACTTCTATCTCATCCCACATACAAAAATTAACTCAAAATGGGTCCGTGACCTAAACATATGAGCTAAAACCTTTAAACTTTTTGAAGAAAACACAGGAGTAAATCTTTATGACCTAGGGATGTGCAATGGATACTTAGATACGACAGCAAAGCAAAAGCAACAAGAAAGAAAAATAGGTAAAAGTCAAAAAAACTTTTGCGCCTAAAAGGGTATCATCAGGAAAGTGAAAAGACAACCTCTAGAGTGGGAGAAAATATTTGCAAATCATATATCTCATAAGGGTCTAGTATCGAGACTATACAAAGAACTCATACAACTCAAAAACAAAAAACAAACAATCCAATTTTAAAATGTACAAAGGATTTGAATAGACATTTCTCCACAGAATATGTACAAATGATACACATGACAAGATATTAAGGAAGCGTCATCAGTCATTGGGGAAACGCAAGTCAAAATCACAAAGAGATACCAATGCACAGCCACGAGCATGTCTACAATCAAAATAAATGATGAGTAACAAGTTTTGGGAGGCTGTAGGGAAACTGGAACCCTTGTATATTGCTAGCTGAAATATAAAATTGTTCAGAGTTCCGGTCAAGATGGCGTAGTAGGTAAACACTGTGCTTACCTCCTCTCATGACAACATCAAAACTACAACTAAACTACAAAACAACCATTATTGAAATCGCCTAAAATCTTGCTGAACTGAAGCCCTACAACGAAGGAGTTGCATAAGAAGCCACCACGAGACTGGTAGGAGGGGCAGAGACTCAGAACGGGCTGGTCCCACACCCACATTTGACCATTAAACATCAAAAAGGATTATCTCAGCTGTGGAGGTCCCCCATCCCCAGAGGAGCGAGGGGTCCCAGCCCCTCCCCAGCCCACCTGAAACTAATATAATAGTGCACATTAGCTTTCATATTTTCATAAAAATCTTTTAAAAATACATTAAAAATATAAAATGGTTCAAATGCTGTAGAAAACAGTTTGAGAATTCTTCAAAAAGTTAATCACAGAATTACCATATGACTCCTCAATTTCACTCTCAGATATATAACCCAAAGCACTGCAAACAGGTGCCCAAGACATACACATATACGAAAGTTCATACCAGCATTATTCACAATAGCCGAAAGGTGAAAACATCCCAAATGTGTACCAGCTAATGAATGGGTAAATGAACAGTTTACAAACTGTAAACTATATACATATATACATACATAAAACAAAATGTTATTTAGCCATAAAAAGGAATGAAGTACTGATACATGTGCTACAATGTGAATGAACCTTCAAAACATTATGCAAAGTGAAAGAAACCAAACACAAAAGGTTTGTGAGGCAGGAGAAGGGAGGATTTGGGTGAACATGCTTAATGGATAAGGGGTTTTACTTCGAAGTGAGGCAAATTGTTTGGAACTATTGGGTTGTCAGAAAAGCCATGATGTATTTTTTCTATGTTTTTCGTTGCAAAAATGCGTCATGACTTTTCCGACAACCCAATATTATAGACTGAGTTTGCAAAATACTAAGATGTACTAAATTCCACTGAATGGTTCACTTTAAAATTGCTAATTTTATGTTATGTGAATTTCACTTCAATAAATTACTTTTTTAATATTCAGAATCCAACTCCTTTGCCTACCTCTACTACTATCACCGTGGTCCAAGCCACCGTCTTCATTCACCTATATTATCACTAGCCTCCTATCTGTTCCCCTCTTCGTATTTCCTTTAGTTTTCTTCTCAACACGACAGCCAGAATGATGCAATTTTGTTGGTCAAATCTTTTCTCTCCAGAAAGCCCTCTAATAGCTGTTTACCTTTCCATAGTCAAAGCCAAAGTCCTACAAGGTGCCACGCAACATGGCTTGTTACAGCTCTAACCTCATGTGACCTCATCCCCTACAACTCTGCCCCTTCTTTTCTCCACTCCGGTCATACCAGGCTCCTTGCTGGTCCTTCAAGATTCCAGACACACTCCTGCCTCAGAGCCCTTGCACTTGCTGTTTGCCCTATTTTAAATATTCTTCTCCCAGATATCTATAGCTCTTGGGCCATCTCCAACATCAATTCTTACTCAAATGTCGCCTACACAATACTTCCCCTGACCATCCTGTGTAAATTGCAGAACACACTTTCTCCTTATTTTCCTTCTCTGCTTTATTTTTCTTCATACCATTTATACCATCTAACATTCAGTAAATTTTACTTATTTATTGAGTTTACTTTTTACTCCCTATGAGATGCTTACTAGAGAGCTTCAAAAGACAGAGAGAAGGAGGCTTTGCAATCCTAGACAGATTTTAAGTCCTTCAAGTGTTTGCTTGCTCATATTTTTATATGTGAACTATGACTTATTATTATTTTTTTAACACAAACCTGGCTTCTAGTTTGTGAGAGAACAGACCTCAGGTACTCAAATTATGAATAAATGCAAAAGGTGTTAAAAAAATGGCCACCCAAACTGGCTTATCTTATTTTACAGCATTACATTAAGAAAGCTGGACCTAAAATATATCAAAAGGCACATAAGAAATTCCAAGTGTTAAATAAACTCTAAATGATTACAATGAAAACAAGAATGAAATTTCTCAGTTCTTACGTTGATCTTATTATATATTTAATTGCTGTTTTAAAAAAACTGCCACAAGTATTAAATAAAAGTTCTCCACCCCTGAAAATCTACATGGCTGCATTTCATTTGTAACTCCTTAGAATTGATGGTCATTGATATCCAAGAGAACCATCTTGGTTCTTAGTGGTTTTTTTCCCCACTATCAATTAGAAATCAGTAAATTGCAAGTGGCTGGCTGACTTTATAAAAAGGATGTTTATAAACCTGCCTTTCAAATGTTTTAAAAGTTACATATTCAATAATAAAAAAAAGAAATATTGAAATAAAAAATAAATTAAAACAAAAACCGGGCCGGCCGAGTGGCTCAGTTGGTTAAGAGCTTGCTCAAGAGTTTGAGCTCTGAGCAACAGCGGTTCGAGTCCAGCCCGAGCTGAGCAGCCGCTGAGCTGCCAACAGGTAGCAGGATGGCTCAGCTAAAAAAAAACAAAAACAAAAAACAAACAAACAAAAACCAAGGTTTCATAACAAATTAATATAAGCCTCGAATACAGCAGAACTGTCTAAAATATACTGGGTTGTCAGAGAAGTCAATGTATTTTTTCTGTTTTTTGTTGCAAAAATGCATCATGACTTTTCCGACAACCCAATATAGTATAGCTTCCCATTTCAGTAATACGTCACACAAAAATACTCATATTATTTTTAAAAGTAGTGCATTTGTCTAGTCCTACTAAACTAATAAAAAAAATCAGTACTGTTATCTAAGGATACCATACTACCGCTTACTCCAAGCACATTAATGCCAACACGCCTCAATCAATAAGTAAACTAATCTAAATCAAATTCCATCTAGTTGAAAATAATCATCATGCACTGCCCAGAGCTGGTGAGTATGAATGGATCACTGAAAATATTTTTGGTAATTGCAGGTTGCTATTTATGTGGACCAGAGTTGGAGAAATTTACTTAGCAAAATGTCTAAGCATGCAGACCACCAATGCTTTTGATACTCTTTTATTTTAGATTTTATCTAGACTTACTGGCAAGAGTCTTCATATGATAACTATAATGAACTTGATCCATATGGAAATAGATGAGTCTATATTTGAATTTCACATATGCTACAACCAAATTAGCTATCTAGTAATTTCTATAAACAATGTCATAACAAAAATATGGATTTCACGTTCCTGCCTCGAGACTGCCTGCTAAATCTGTTCATTATAATTTAGCTAAATATTAAAGTTTGACATGTTTTATCACAGATAATAGTATAGTAATTTCTTTAATTCAAAATGCTAAGTGGATTTTTGCTGCAAATAATTTTTAAAACCATCAGAACCAGATGTTTGATAAATATTCTTCAAAATAAGTAAAATAACATGCAGAAAAATTATAAAAATTAGTTGTGTTATGGTTTTCACTGTAAATTATAAATGAAAGAAATCTGAAGTTTTCAAGAGATCAGGAGGCTTCCAGTATTGTTGATAAGAGACTCATGAGCTCTTCTGTAATCATAAAATAAGGTCCTTATAGTCTCATGACAGTGATTGTGAAAAATTCATACTTGTTATACAGTACTGTTGATTTAGAGGCTTTTTAACGGCTGATTTGTTTTAAGAGCATAGACACTGTATGTACGTATGTATCTTTTGAGATAGTACCATTGAGAAGAGGCTGTCCTTCATGTACGTCCTGCGATAAGACTGCACTGTAAACATCTTCAGGAAATCCAGTCTTGCATAATGCGATTTCACCAGAAGCCTCTACAGATGCCTGCAACACAAGAAAAAAAATGTTTGCAATGATTGCTACCTCCTTCAACCAGAAACATTCCACTTGGCCTAAAGCCTCATTTTTTTCAACTACCACGTACAAACAACCCCTTTGTTTTCAAATGGTTACAATTAGAATGTAGAGGGCAAAGGGTTAATCTTTTTGATAACTAGAGTAGAAGAGACAAATCCCACTTGTCTTGTCCAGTAAAACCTAAATAGTATCTATTCTAAATTCTTCTAAGGATTGAACATTTCCATGAAAATGGTCATTGTGATTGAAGAGCTACAAGTGGACCTGGAGGTGGGGACAGCTAAGTAGTTTGTAGGCGCCACGAATCACTATCAGTAACTTAACTTTTCCAGAAAAAAGTATACATTCAAGTATGTAGATTTTTATATTTTCATCTAATTCTCTGACTATGAAGTTTGTTTCAATATATGCTCTTTTAATTAAAAAATGAAACTGCAATATACTTACTGCAAGAGTATTTTATACCAAGTAAAACCAATCAATCCAAAGTGTGTCTGTATTAGATATAAATACACATACGCATGTGCGCGTGTGTGTGTATAATTTGAAGGGCAGGGGTTTGTTAAAAAAAATTAATACAATTATGTTTTCTTTTTATACTTAAAAATGAGAAAGTAACTACCTCTTGCCATCTCCCTCTCTATCATCACATATACAGTTAACTACCTCGTGTGCTTAAAACTCAGTCATACCCAGTGCCACCCACCTATCCCTCCAAGCTAGTTTCACTACTTCTTTCAGACCTATTGACACCGCAGGACAACCAGGCCTCAGTAGAACGCGTGCAGCGTTTGCATTAATTATAGGAAACTTTACCCTGCATTGATGGGGATCCAAGTACAGGACGGGGAAGAGCGCACGGAGACTGCAGAGGGAGGCATTTCCGTAGCTGCTGGGCCAGCATTAGGAGCAGTCTGCACTGCCGAGGAGCATCAGAAATTGCCAAGGAGAAAGGGAAGCCCCAGAAATAGAGAAACCTCAGAGCAGCTGTCTGAATGAAGCGATACAGTGCAAGCTTCACAATTAATGGACTACATTCCTGGATTATACCTGTGAAGGTTTGCAAATACTAACGTTGCAAAATCCAGACTAATCTAGTATTCTAATTGAATTCTCATCTAATGTTCTGTTCTTCTCACATGTCAACAAATAACGAAAAAAAGTAATTCTGAACTTTGTTAAATATCACACCGTATTTAATCTCAAAAAAGTATTCAGAGCAACAGTGAGGTATTAGTTCAGACCCATCAAATGAGCAAAGTTTTAAGTCTGTTACTTGCAAGAAAGGATTCTCGGTATCAACTGAAGGACACAGAGCAGCCAACCCCCTTACACAGGTGTTATGGAAGCTGGTACAGTCTCACTGGGATGCAATTTGGAAAATTCTAGTAAAGATGAATGTGGACATATCCTCCATAGCAGGTGTGTTCCCAGGGAAAGTCTCCCATGGGTCTCCAATCGACGCTGCAGCATGGTTATAACAGCAGGACCTGGAGACTACCAAAACACCCATCAGATGAAGAATGGACTAATAAATTTTCACATAGCCAAAAAAAAAAGGAACACCCAACAGCATTAGAATAGAAGATTCGGAACTACATCTATCCACAGGGTTACCTCTCAAAACAAACAAACAAGAAGCCAGCTTCTTTAACTTCCATGTAAGATTGAAAGATTAATGTAATCATAAATCAACCTAGGGGATGGCTATTATTTTTAGTCAAGTCAAAAACCTATTTACACAATATTCCCAATTCAGACTGGAGACAAAGCACATTGCCCTTTGACTCTTGCAAAAAAAAAAAAATTAAAAAGCATGACTGATGACTTCATTTTAAGGTATAAAGCTTAAATCCAAAAGATAATGCAAATGTTACTGAATATACACATGTACAAGATAGTCATAGACACCAGATTTAGGACAGTGGCTGCCCCACAGGAGGCAATGTAGGGAAGGCATCAGGAAGGATTACACAGGCAGCTCTGATTTTATTTGTAATAATTTCTTCCTTTCAACAAGAATCTAAAGCAAACAGGGTAAAATGTAAAGATGGACGTAGGCACATGGGTGAAAATGCTATTATCCCCTATATGTTCTGTATGCATAAAAAAAGAGAAAATATTAGGGACTAATTGAGAAGTAACAAGTTGGGCTTCCAAAACCTCTCAAGTGTGGGACACCAGGCTGATACTTAGACACT